GTGCATGCATTCAGCATCATCACTAAAATATATTGTCAATTAAATTACATTTTAAAAATAGTTTTTGTACCCGATTGTTCTGTATCATTCATCATTCTTCTGTTGGTTTATCTTGTTATATTATACAGTATATGCTGTTGTTTAAACGAATGGAAGCTGACACTGAGCTAACAGCAGGAGTTAAAGAGCGTGCGTCTCACAGTTGAAGGATGACGGCGATCCTCTGGAGCGGCTGAACTCTTCTCCGTACAGAGCGTTCATGCTGGGCTGACTGCTGCGTCTGCTGGGGTACGCCGGAGGAACGCCGCTCGCCATCCTCTCTTTGGTCTTGAGCGCCTGCGCCCGCTCCTGCCTCAGACGCTCCTCGTCCCGCAGCAGAGCCACCAGCTGCTTGGCTTTCTCGCGCACGTTCACGCCCTGGTCGCGCCCGTCCCGGTCCACGTACTGGAAGTCCCGCAGCGTCTGGATGGCGAAGGCGTTCTCGCGGCACTGCTGGGCCACGCGCTCCGAGCCCGTCTTAGCCAGATAGTCCAGCAGCGTCAGCGCCTGAGCACACACACAAACCAGATCTCTGCACTCCTTTCTCAACCTTTTGGACTCTGCTGTCCAGAAAAAAAAGAAGATTTCCTCTGGTTCATCTGCTGTAATTTACAGAAACCAGGAGTTTTCACACATTAGAATGAGTAAAATATTAAAATAATCACATTTCAGGATTCCAGTTTTAAGAGCTGAATATTTTTGAGGGTTCCAATAACTAAATAATTCATTTACATGACTTTTCCATTCATTTGGTTTACTGGATTAAAGTTAAGAATGAAATAAAAAAAAAAAATTCTCACAATTTCTACTGGATAAAATATTTTACTAAGCTAAAAAAAGAATGCATATTATTTACAAAATAAATAAATAAAAATTAAGATTTTATCCATTTCCACGACTTTTTCCAGGGTCTAGAAATCACACTTTTAAAAAAAAAAATTAGGCTAAAAATCACTTTGTAATCACTAAAAAAGGCTAAAAGTGACTAATTAGACAAAAAAAACTAAAAATATATAATAAAATGAACACATTTTTAAATTAGTCTAGAAATAACTTGAAATCTGTAATTCGACTAGAAGTAAACTAGAAATCACACACTTTTTAAATTATGTTAGAAAATCACACTGCAATCACTAATTTTACTAGAAATAAACAAAAAATATAATACAATTAACACGTTTTTAAATTAGGTTAGAAATCACTTGAAATCACAAGTTAGACTTTATAATGACAAAGTAGAGTTTTTAATTACATAAAAAAATAGACTAAAATCACTTGAAATCATTAATAAGACTAAAAAATAAAATAAAAATAATTAGCCTAGAAATCACATAAAATCCTTCATTAGAGTAGAAATAAAATAATAACTTTTTTTAAACATTAAGCTAGAAATCACTAATTAGACTAGACAAACTAAAACTAAACTTTTTTAATTAAGCTAGGAATCACTAATTAGACTAGAAATCACAAAAAAAGAACACGTTTTAGACTAGAAATCACTAACTGGACTATAAATAACTCAAAATAACGCTTGTTAAAAATGAGGATAGAAATCACTAATTAGACTATACATAAACCAAAAATCACTTTCGTTTAAATAAACCTAAAAAAAATCACTAATTCACGTTTCACTAATTAATAGCTTGAAATAAACGGTGATCATTTTTCTCCTATCTCCAGGTTTTCTGAGACTGTGGGAATCCTGCTTCGTCAGAGGTGTTGAGGGAACTCTCTTGTTTTAGTTCATTTGAATGCAGGCTCTGGACGGGTGCGCACACCTTGTAGACGTGTCTCCAGTTCTTGCCGTGGTCGTTGAGGCGCTTCCACACCATGGCCATGACCTCGCTGAAGGCCACCACGCTGAAGGTCAGCTCGGCGATCTCCGACATCAGCGAGCTGGACGGGCCCCAGGGGTCGTTAGAGGTCGCCTCGCGCACCTTGATCTCCGCGTCCGAGTAGTTGTGCACGAGGTTCTTCACCTGCCGCCGCAGGGCCGAGGTCGTCATGGCGACAGCGAGTGTGCACGAGGGGGCCTCCCGCGGTGAGACGAGACAGATGCTCACGCCAACACCAGCCAGAGCTGAGAGACACACATTTACACCGCAAAAAACTATTATTACATGCTTCTCAGTTTTATAAAGTCACGCAAGCTCAGTTGTATGCAATCATAGTTTGTATATATGCACACTCTCAGAAAAAATTTACAAAAGCTATCACTGGGGCTATCACTCTTTGTACCTAAAGAGTCCATATTGGTACCTTAAAGGTGTATATAAGTACCTGAAGTGTACAAAATTGTCCCTTTTGAAAAGGTACCTCCCCAGTGACAGCTTTTGTACCTTTTTTTTCTGAGAGTGTATATACATATATATATATATATATACACACACACACACAAGTAAGATTTTTAAGTGACAAATATTTACAAAATTGTCCCTTTTGAAAAGGTACCTCCCCAGTGACAGCTTTTGTACCTTTTTTTTCTGAGAGTGTATACATATACATATATATATATATACACACACACACACACACACAAGTAAGATTTTTAAGTGACAAATATTCAGAAATATTCAGCAGCACAACAGTTTTCAACACTGATAATAATCAGAAGTGTCTCTTGAGCAGCAGATCAGCATATTATACTGATTTCTGAAGATCATGTGAAACTGAAGACTGCAGTAATGATGCTGGAAATACAGCTGCGCATCACAGAAATACATTACACTTTAACAGATATTGACATAGAAAACAGCTATTTTAAATTGTAATAATATTTCAGTATTTGTACAGTATTTTTGTTCAAATAAATGCACCCTTTGTGAGCAGAAGAGACACTGAAGAGGTCAACGGTCATTTACTAAACATCATTTCCTGTCGTTTTTGTGGTCTGTAGAGAGTTAACAAGCTTTTGAACACATAAACAGATGCAGTTCTAATTAAAAGGCCCCCCTCCCTCTTCATTTGCAGCGAGAGGAGAGCGATTACCATTTTCAGCATCATCAATAATTCAGATCGGCTCCAGTTTGCTCTCATCTTAAAAAAACACGGTCGGTGGGGAGAGAGAGCCATGCGTTATCGGTCTCCAAAAACAGACCCCGAATTTACCCCAGCACCCAAACACATCTTAATACATCTGCGTTCCTGCGCTCGCAACATCAAGGTGATGGGTTCGATCCCCAATGATTAATGCATCTGAAATGCTGCTGAAAGCACCTGCTAAATTAACAAACGCATCTTTGACGTCACAAACTTTACCAATGAATCAGCTCACGCTGTTACCCATCAGCCCACAGACACAGAGAGCAGCAGACCAGCGGCACGTTTAACCCTCACGCCGTGTGCGTTTCATTCAGAAAACACCGGAGGCCGAAGGGTTAACTGAGCTTAATCTGGAGGAGCTGAGAGTTTGCTGTTAATCACAGCAGCAGCAGAGCTGGGAAACATCTCACGATTGCATTCACCAGAAGCCATCAAACAAATCTGACTGTGGGGAAATGACTGAATGTTTATAGGACACTGTAAAATCAAATAAAAATAAATCAATTTCAATTCTGTGAAATTAATGGTACAAAGCTGGCAGCCGTGGTTATCAGAACTTCACCATAAAAAAAATACAGTAGCAAAAATTAGGTTTCACAGATTGAACTTAAGTTTACAGTAAAAAAACAGTACTCCATTAACTGATAAGTAGTAAAGTACTACTTAAGTACTAAAATCTGTTTCGTATCTAAACAGCCACTTTAAAAACACAGATGATAATAAGAAAACCACAGGATGAATCAAAGAAGCTTTTCCACAAGCTGAAGTGAATGCTAATCAGTGTTAGGGAAAGTTACTTTTGAAAGTACTGCATTATATTGTGTTACTGCATTAAAAAGTAACTAATTGCATTACTTAGTTATTCTTTATGGAAAGTAATGCATTATTTTCTTTTGCATTACCTTTTGCCCTGGGCTGGGCTTGCTCGTTTGTTTTTTAATAACAAAAGACCCAAAAGTTATATTTTTGGCAGCTGCCAGGGACCTAAAGTGAAGTGAATCAGCCTCAGGCCTCTGCACCTCTCTCCCAGTGTTTCTCTCAACGATGAGAAATGTCAATGAATAAATGGAAAAACAAAGTGACTTGCATTACCTATTTGAAAAAAAATAACTCAAGATATTTAGTTGTAAATTTAGAGGTAATGCGTTTCTTTACTAGTAACTTGAAAAGTTAATCTGATTAGATAACTCACATTACTTGCTAATATATAGAGGGTGGTTTATTCTATTTTACTTCCAAAAACTAAATATAATAGTATTTTACAGTGAAATTGACAAAACTATTAGTTTTTCATCGTATATAGTAAGATAACTTCCTGTTAACCAGTTAACAGATGTATGCCGTAGCATATTCCCAGTCTATTACTGTTAACATTACAATCATTTTGACAGTGTAGCATCAGCTGATCTGCCTGAACATCTCTGCCCTTCACACGGCTGCGCTCTTCGACTTTGTATTTCTGTGTGTGAGGCAGAACCTAATCCTACACTGCACTCGGTGAAAAACCCACGCCGTACCTCAGGGTTCATCTGCTCCAAAACTTGGGCAAAACACAATGAGCCCAGTCCAGATCCGTTCTGCGTCGGCCCCAAAACCTGCTGGCTTCGAACCAGGAGCCGCTAACATCAGCACTTTCATTATCACTTTTTCAAAACTAGACCAACACAACAAAAGGAGATCACTCTCAATGAAGATGGTGTGAAGAAATACAACTCACCTTTAGTTCGCTGCATCTAAAACAAAACAAAATGTGTGTGAATTGATCACCAATTCAATATGTATTTAAATAACTTGAGGTATGTAACCTTAATGTTAAAATGAGTAAATGTTTGGTAAACATCCTTAAAGAGATATAGTCCTCAAGTTGTTCCAAACCTGCATGAATTTCTTTCTTCTGTTGAACACAAAATATATGGTAACCAAACGGTCATTGGTAGCCATTAACTTTCATAGTATTTTTTCCCCATATTTTTAAAGTCAATGGCTATCAGCAATTGTTTGGTTACCATCGATCTTTAAAATATCTTCTTTTGTGCTGAAAATAATAATAATAATATTTTTTTTAATTTTGGGGTGAACTGTCCCTTTAAATTGTACTATACAATACCAGCATGACCATCAGTCATCCTGCTCTCTACATAACGGTCGACCATTAATGCTTTAAATGACCTGCTACTAACAATTCAGATTCCCATTCCCATTTTAACATTCTCACAACCAAAATTAAAAAAATTTGGAACATAATTGACCTGATCTACCCAAGTTGATCATAGAGAGCACTGGTGCTGATCTACTTATTATGAAGATTTTGAGAAACGCAGGCCTGGTTCATCTGCTGTAGACATGAGAAGAAAACAACAGACCCACCATGACTGCGGTGCCGCGTGTGAGCCCGGGACGAGTCTCTGATGAGTGTGATCTCAGCGAAGACATCTGCTCCGCAACACGACACACTTTCATCAAGCAGATCCCCACGGAGACGTTTAATTCTGTCAATGGCCTTTTATGCTCTCCTTATTGAATTATTCCACTCCATGCTCCAGCGGTGATCACAGATTCATCTCACTCACAGTACTATATATTAAACAGCCAAATATAGCTGTACAGCCTGATGCCACAGAAGAACCTTGGATGTGATGTGAACTTAAAGTTCTCCTGTGATGTCACAGAATATTTTAAAGCAACCATGATGCCATAAGAAAACCTGAAGTTTCAAAGATTCTATAGAACTATTTTACATTTTTGAGTTCTATTTTGTCACAGAACATGTCCTAATAAAGTCATAAGCTCCTTTCACACACACACACACACACACACACAAGCACACTGATGTGTGAATGGTGCTTTACCGGTAAATAGACAGAACGTCGTTGCTTGTGTGAACAGCACATTTTTTTATTTAATGTTAAAGTCGTTCCTGTAATTTTATGGCAATTTATTGGTATTACTGTGTGACGGGCTATTGTAGAATTTGTAGAAGTTCGTGTGTCATTGAACTTTTTTGAGTTCCACAATGTTACAGAACATTAAAAACTCATAGTAAAAACCTTTTCAAGTTTTTACGTCACTGAACCAATTTTTGAGTTCCATGACGTCAAAGAACAAGTCCTAAAAACGTCATAGTAGAAGCGTTTCGAGTTCCTATGATGCCATTGAACCTTCTTGAGTTCCACAATGTTATAAAACATTTTATGTTATCTATGTTCACATTATTAATATTGTTTGAACATTCATTTAAGACAGTTGTGGAGTTCTTGAAATATTCTGTGCACTACACTTAAAGAGCACCTTAGAAATGTGGTAACCATTTTTTCTACTGTTCCTAAAGTTGTTTCAATGATTAAATAATATGGGCAATCTATAGATGAAGCTGTATTTATGTAAATTAAACAATATGGTGTACTGCTGGAACATCACAACTCAACAAACCTACAACATCATATTAATATAAATGTTTTTCGTTACACTTACACTTTTCTGATAAAGTCATAGTAGAACCATTTAAAATATCTATTAAGTCATTGTAACTTCTGAATTCCACGAAGAAAATAACATATTAAGTTCAAGTTGTTATGATGCTGTTGCACCATTAAGTTCCCATTATGTTATAGAAGATTTTAAAGTCGTAGCAGAACCCTTCCGAGTTTCTATGATATCACACAAAAACCTTTTTGGTGTTCTATGGTTCTTTAAAATGCATCTATTTTCTCTGAGCATGATATCTACTAATATATACTGATATGGCCAATAATGTAACCTCGGGTTACAACACAACAGCATCAGAGCAGAAATAGACTGAGACTGTGTGTCAATGCTCCTGTAGGCACGCTTCTGACATAAGACACACACACGGTGACACACTGACAGATACAGCAGGGTTAATGAGGAAGATAAATGGATCGCGTTTACCTACAGCATCTTACCGAGCAGCCGCGATCCGCTACACCGACACGAATACACCGAGACGGACTCAGAGAGAAATACGGACAGATCTGTCCGCCCTGCCGTCGATTTGTGCGAGAATAATCGCGAGGATGCTGCAGTGTTTCAGTGATGTGGGTGAGATGCTCCATCTACTACACACTCTCACACATGCGGTGTGGAGGCACGAGAGAGAGAGCACGAGAGAGAGGGAGGGAGGGAGAGAGAGAGAGAGGGAGAGAG